TCGTAAATTTTCGTAAGTTTACGCTCGCGTAAAAACTTGCGGAGGTTTACGCCTATTTATTTTTGCTGATGTATAAACTATGTTTCATCCCAATTCCAAACCCACACTTACCCTAACTATAAGCAAGAATTTAATTCTTTGTTTATAAAAATTGTTTGATTGGCATGTTATACAAATTTGTAATTCAATAAATTATACCCATGTATATACACTACATGTAAATTTATAAATTTCCTTGAATAGCAAACTTTATTAAAAGTTGGTATATTATATTTGTACTTACAAATTCATATATATATATTTCTGCAAATCCTCTCAAGTTTTAACTATACTTAATCTTATGCTAACAATTACCAGCTATTTAGTATTATATTTAACAAACAGGTATAGCAGAGCTTCTCTAATTTCTTTTATATCTCATATATTTTTAGATTAAACCTTTAAAGATATTATGTTATAAGTACTAGCAAGCTTAGTTATTTGAGCTATATATATATTTTGCTTTTATAAAGTTTAAATTTACTTTAGTATTTACAATTTAGTTTTTATTTTTCTGCAAATACTTAATTGGTATCTCTCTTGCTACTAATTATTATCTAAAAAAAGTTAATCTTAATCTGGCTTTAAGTGCATTTAGTTTATCTTTTCTTAGTATATACTTCCAAAGTATATATTTTTTTTTGGCTAGTTCTATTTAGATTTATTCTTGGTTTATATTAGTATTGAAAAATAGGACATTTATTTTACTAACTTCTAGCTCAGAGCCAGAAAGAGTAAAGCTCACAACTTACTAGTTTTTTAAACTAGTAGCTCTGTTAGTGATTACTAAGTTAATATGCTTTTTTCAAACCAGTAGCAGTTGGTAATATCTTCTATTTAAAAATCATTTGTTGCTTGATTTACTGATTTCAAAGCTTTCAAATTTGGCTTTTCTATAACACTATCAAAAGTTTATATTAATCTTTATTCAGATCTTGCCAAGCTAGTTTTAGATTTTTAAGACCTTTTTAGTTTTATATATTTTTGAGAGTTTTATCATAAGCTTGCATTATCTATATTTCTTTGTATAACCCAAGTACTATATAAATACTTCCAGAATTTTCTTAGTTTTTTGGTTAAGTAGATTTCAATAATGAAATATATATTAGAAAATTATAAATAGCTATTATATTATTAAAGTGCACTTTTACTAAAATGTACCTATAGTATTTTTATACTATAGGTTCTGTTTCTCAAAAATATACTAAGTAAACAGGATCGGGTTTTCTAAGTAAAAATGTTTAGAACTCCCAAAAACCTCACAAAAACCAAAATTGAGCCCTATTGGGCTTTTATATTAGCTCTATAATATATTATACAATACCAGACAGTTAGAAATATTCACTTTTTTTAAGTTTATTTAAAACTTAATAACTTATAAACAAATTGTTATTTTAAAAATCTCTTTTACAAATTTATAAATTATAATCTAAGCTATAAATTTGTAAAACAGAATTTTAATATTTTATATTTTAAGAAAGTTATAATAAATCAAAGTTTGCCAACTTTTATAGTAAAACAAAAATTTGGTGCAATGCAAATTGGCTAATCAAATCGATTTTTAGTCATGTGAGTGTGAGTTTATTGGCTAACTAACTTAGTAATATAATTCTAATTTGTGCAACACTTATATATAATTTAAATTATAATTATGTAAGTAAGTTATAAAGTGTAATGATAAGATGACGAAATTTATAGCAGAGTTAATGGAAATTTAAAGTCAAAATAATTAGCCTCAAATTCTAAAAAGAAAATTCAAGTAAAACAAAAACTTATATGCCAAATTTATACGTGTACATACTTTTTATATATTGCAATATTGTTAAAGCCCAAATAATATTATGCACACTAGTGCTATTTTGTTTATGCAATGTTACATGTAATTAAAAAAACAAACAAATTACTCTTTTTGACGATTACTAAAACCAAATTTTTCTACTAATAAAAAAATAAAATTTTTTATTGAAAAGTTGGGGCCTATATTATAGTTTGTCTAGAGGTCAACATTATTTGCTCTACAGAACTTCTCTAAAGAGATATTTGGCATGCAAGCCAAGAGCATTATTATATAAGTTAACTAGCAAGAGGCACCCTTGTACAAAAAATCTTGGTGGAGTGTAGACAAAGAGCTTATTTTTGTTAATGAAGTTTTTAGATTATTACTTTAAAGAAAAACACAGAGGAAACAACAAAACTTTTTCTTTTCTAAAGCTGCACTCTTTCTTTTGGGTTTGGTGGCTCTTCTTTTTCTTTTTCTCACCCTTATGTCAGTTTTCCAAAATTTTCTACAAAAAGTGAAATTTGGCTTACCCTCTTCAAAAGATTGGCATTGTTTATTTTTCAAATTTGGATAGACTTAGTAGGATGCAACCACGTGACGTATTTGTTTATAAATATGGTGCTACTTCGGAAAAGTTGAATTGGGACCTCCAGTTAAAGAAATATTCGAAAGTAGTCATAAGTTAGAAGAATTTTGTATATTAAGGCAAAGCTTTATATTAAAAATATACAATTATTGCATTTGTTATATAATTTTTTAGCCTTGTACAGGTTATAATAGTGCATTCTTATTACATAGAGAGATGAAATTCCTCTTATACTGTATCCTGGTTAGGGTTCCTCAAAATCGAATCAAATCAAATATTTATATATTTAAATTTGATCAAATCGAATAAGCTCTTGATTTGAATTTGATTTGATCAAATCAAATTTAAATCAAATCAAATTTATTTGTAATTTTTATCAAATATTTTCAAATCAAATCAAATATTTTGTCAATTTGAATTTGATTTGAAATTTCTGTATTTGAATTTGATTTGAGATCAAATATTTGATTAAATCAAATCAAAGCAAATTGTGGAACCCAAATCCTGGTTCTATAAACATTTTTTTTTATTTCTTTTTGTTTTTTCTTTTTTTTGAGTTTTTTTATTTTTTATTTCACTCTTTTCCCTTTTCTCTCTTTTGTTTATTTCCCCTTTTTAGTTATAGTTTGTTTTCATTTTTTATAGTATTTTTTTTTTTTTGAATAATTCCAGTTATCCATAATCTGGTAGAACAGAGTTGCTCTTAGGTCTGAGTTAGGTTTCGCACTCAATATAGAACTGAGTGGAGTTGAACTTCTTATCTGAAATTTATATATTTATGTTATTATAAATATTAATAAATAAGATTAGTCATAGTGAGACCTGTCGATATTTAAAAAAAATAAAAATAAAAAATATTATATGGAATATAAAGGCATAACTTAATATATTTGAAAATTATAAATTTTTCTATTATTATAAAATAAATTAGATGAGTTGGTTTTATCACTATATAAAATAAACAAGTAATTGATAAGCAAAAGTTAGATCTTTTATATCACATACTAGCCAATTTTGAATATGTAATAAATACAAAATGTTGACCCAATTCTGCTTCATAATAATAATTGCTTGTTGAAGACTTTGTTAGAAATTTTTTCTCTCACAAATTTTGAATAATAAAAATACTAATAAAAAAAAAAGTGAAATTCTGAATTCTGATTATAAAACAAACTAAAAAAAATATTTTATCTTTGATTTCTTATCTCATAATGCCTAAAATTTCAACTGTTAAAAAACTGCAGAAGCAAAAAGCTGTAATAGCTTGTTTTGCATTTGTTGACCTTGATTCAAGTGAAGAGTATATTAATTCCAGTAGTAATTCAGATGAAAGTTCAGATAATGGTTTTATGATAACCAAGTGAATTCAATTATTAAGCAACTTCTTGTGGTATTAGCAACAGGTTTCAAAAAAAAAGGTGTCCTTATATATATATTAAAAATTCTAAATGGACACAACAAAGAAAAAATAAAGCATTTAGAGAAGTAGCAAAAAAAAGCTTAAAAATTTCAAGTTTCTTTACTAATAATCAACTTTCAACTACCAATTATGAGGAGAATGCTGAAGACTTTCAAGTTCAAGAGTATCAGGTAAGAGAGCTATATTAAGAATAATTAATATTTGATACAGAAATAATTATGTTATTAATTAATAGAATGAAGAAGAATTAGATGAAAGTTTGAGTAAAGACCTAGATGAGGACTTGGATAAATACTTGAATGAAGAATTAGATAAAAAAAAAAATAAAAATAAAAAATGCAATCAAATTTGTTAATAAAGTAATAAGTAAAGAATCTTTTTTCAAAACCAATAAAGCATATTACATGGCAGTAATTTATTTTTATAAACTGCTTCTAAAAAGTTAAAAAAAAATAAAGGCAGCTGTTACTGATATAATTAATAGTGGGTCTTGGCTTGCCAAGTATATTAGAAAGTAGGCAAATAGCTGTATGAAGAATCAAATATACGTAAATACTTTAAAAATCAATTAAACGCTATAAAAATAATATACAATAAATAAATTAATAAAAATTTACGACAATTTACAAAGAAATTAATAATACTTAGCTTTATTCGAAAGTTGTCAAAGTGATTTTTTCCAAAAGTCGTAGAGTACTGCAATTTTCCACAATTGAAAAATTAAAAAAATGCGAAACTTCGAAATAGTCAAGAAATAACCAAATTATGCCGTAAAGAAAAACTTCTATACTTAAAAATAATATCATTTTAATAAATTACGTATTAGGACCTAAAAACATGAAAAGTTTTAGTAAGTAAACAAACAAAAAAAAGTTTCAAATATTATAAAATATATTTCTTGGAGACAAAGACTTTCATAAACTTTTAAAATATTTTAAAAAGCTTCGTATATAAAAAGTTTTAGTAAGTAAACAAACAAAAAAATGTTTCAAATATCATAAAATATATTATGAATACAAAGACCTTAATATACATTTAAAATATTTCGAAAACCTTTATATATTATAAACCAGTAAAGACTTAGTAAACAACAAAATATCTTCAAAAAATTTTTTTTTGGCTGTAAAGTATGCA